TCTAGAAATCGGATTCGGGAGTCAGTTACACGTAGGGAAGGATTAGCACCCCCACAAGCACCCAAAAATTGATACCTAGTTGATTACCCTATATTTAAAATCGGAAATTTTGAGTTCGATCTTTATTTAATTTGAAAATCATTACGGATGCAAAGTTGAAAAGGGTATTCGTTTATCGAGAGCGATAGCATTCGCTCCCAAGTGTAAATGCGGGATATCATCTATTGTGTCTAATAACCGAATATTGCCTCGTTTTTAGAAAATCATGATGCGGCCTTTGAAAAGGATGTCGACCTATTTCGGGAATAACCAGTAGTCACCCCCTGAGCATACTTGCGGGAGATATACAATTAATTCACTAATAAGTGAACATTGCCTTAGGTTAAAAAAACAATACAATCAAACAAATTTTTATTTAATCCTAATTAACTTAAGGTAAATTAAAGGTTTTTTCTAGCTTAAGGTGTCAAATTATGAAAATTAAAGAACCTAGAGGCACAAACCTAGAAGTGTAGGTTCTAACATTAACCCTATTTGATTATAAAACCAATTATTGAATCGAATAACCGAGATGGTCCCTCGAGGATTTACGCGAGGGTCGACTCAAATTATTCCCTAAATTAAGACTATTTTGAAATCTAACCTAAAATGGAGGCTCTAATATTAATTTAAATTTATTTTAATAAATATTGTCATTCGAATAATTAAATTGGAACCTCAAGCGAAAGCGATGACCAAATTAAGAATTCTCTTAATTTAATGACTAAATGTGAAACTAGGCCTAAGATGGAGGTTCTAATTAATCATCCTAGTTACCTATGGTCAATTGATAATTAAAAATTCAAGGACTAAATCTAGAGAAACCTAAGTTTAGGGACTAAATCTAAAGAAATCTAAACTAAGGACTAAACCCGAATATTAGTAATCCAACAATAATTAACTTAAACGGGTATAAAATCCTAGACTAAAATTAAATAAATGCACCAAAAAACACAAGTAAATCAAGAAAGAAATGGAACAAACATGTAATAAATCCAAACCCATGTCACGTAATTATGAAGGAAATAAAAATTGAGACTAAAAACATGAAAATAAAGGTAACTAAAAACAAGTAATAAAAGAAAAATAAGTTGAACAAATGCACATAAATAAAAGGTTGATTGAATTAATGGAAATAAAGGTAACTAAAAACAAGTAATAAAAGGTAACTAAAAATTATGGAAATAAAGGTAACTAAAAACAAGTAATAAAAGGTACCTAAAAATCATTAAATTTTGACTGAATTAAAGTTATAATCTAAAACAAAATCATCTTATTAATCCAAAAATTAATGTTTTACACTTTTATTCTTGTGCCTAGAGATGACAATTCAACCCGAAATCGGTGGATTCCGACCTGGCCCTACCTGATAAGGTCATTTTTTTATATAAAAAAAATTAGGTTCAAGTCATGTCAAGTCAAATTTTCTAAAGGGTGAGATCGGGTTGGGTTGAGTTTGAGTGGAGGGTGAAAAAACTTTGACTCGACCCGACCCGGGAATAATAATGTAATTTCTTTAAAAAATTATTATTATTTTAATTAAGTCTTTATATTATATCATGTCGGAGTCGGGTGGAAAATATATATTTTTGAGTTAGATGGAGGATATATAATTTTTGGGTCGAATCGAATTCAGATGATATATGCATATTTTCAGGTCGGGTCGAATTGACCAAAAACTCGATCCTAACCTAACATGTTGTCATCCCTACTTGTGCCACATCATCACTGCAAATACAATTCTCTGAAGTCTTCTATGACCACTCAAGATATCAACGAATGCACATCATGTCTCCTACCACTCATCAGTTTTGATTTTACCTAAATCACTTTATAACTCATAAAACTCAATCTAAACCCAAAACTTATGAAATCTCAAACTACTTTGATCTATAATATTCATCATTCGATAAGCGTGAAATAAGATATATAACTCGCTTCCTCCTTCACCTTCCCACCATTTGGATTTGGACGAAGATGTTTCACCACTAAAAAATCAAAGGAAATTCAAATTTTAGGGTTTCCATAAAAATGAAGAACGTTTTGGGTCCATTTCATAAACTTTAAAACAAAAGTATTTAGTCATAATGTGGTTAAGTGTTTAACTATGAAGTGACCAACACAGGAGCAAATTGAAAGTATAATGAGTAAATTGAATTTTTTAACTTTAGTGATCAAAATATGAATGAAAAGAAAGTTGAGTGATAAAACTTATAATTTATCCATTTTGTATATTATGCATATGAAGTCTCTTTGTTTAAAAATTATAACAAAATGTTACTATTAGTTGAATAATTTAGAACTTATTGAAATAAGAGTTACTTGAAACTTTAGTGATTAAATTGAAAATTTTAAACTTGAATGGTCAAAATAAGATTAAAGGTAAAATCAAGTGATGAAATTTATAGTTTACTCTTTTAAAAATATATAATACTAATTTATATACATTATCCAAAAGGATGATTTTTTTATTTTTTTATTTTATAAATAATAATAATAATAATAATAATAGTTAGGTCAACGTTTCCCAAAACGGCTCGTTCTGGATTTTATTGATATGTTCACAGCGTTTTGTTTAATGGATTTGTTAATGGTTGAGTATTCATTAAGTCAACCCCAACAAAGTAAAGCATGTGATGCGCTTATGAGCGTTTTGCCACTCAAGATTATACTAAACATATTATATAGCACACTACATAAAATGTTACACCTGAAACTAGTTAAATTATAATAGGGTAAAGTACAAAATGGTCCCCGACTATAGAAAATTGATTTATTAAGTCTCTCGACTATTAAAAGTTACTTTATTAAGTCCTCTGACTATTAAAGTTACAAAATGGTTTCCCCATTATTCATTATGTTCCAAACTCGTCATTTTTCATTAAAAAATTGACGATATTCTGAGTTTAATGTTAACATGAAGATTGTGATATGATAAAATATGATACCAAAATCTTAAATGACAATCATATCTCATTCATCATGTTAGCATCCAACTTAGACAACTATCAATTATTTTACATAAAAGGATGAGTTTGGAACATAATGAATAATGGAGTGACCATTTTGTAACTTTTAATAATCGAGGGACTCAAATGACTATCATATCTCAGTTATCATGTTAACATCCAACTTAGACAACCGTGAATTATTTAACCAGAATCTCATGACCATCATAATGAATAATCATATAATGAACATTAATCGAGGGATCATTTGTGTATTTTACCCAGAACCTCATATGATTATCATATCACAGTCATCATGTTGATGTCTAACTTAGATAACCGTCCTTTTTTAACGAAAAAGATGGGTTTGGAACATAATGAATAGTTAGATGACCCTTTTGTAACTTTTAATAGTCGAAGGATTTAACAAAGCAACATTCTATAATCAGAGGATCATTTTATAACTTTTAATAACAGAGAGACTTAATAAAGTAGTACCCTATAGTTGAAGGACCATTTGTGTACTTTACCCATTGTAATAATAATCCGACCCTTAAATAAATCTACCTACAATTGTTTTTCAAAAAATCCTATTAGAACCACTCATTTCTCTTCACTCTTGATAACTACCACTAACAACTCTCTCGGTACCTCATGTGAACCGTCTTTTAATTTTTAACATCATGTTTTGTATCAACAAATTTAATATAAGTATTTATTTATTTAATTTCATAAGTTAAAAATATAATCATGTCTTTTTTTTTACTTTTTTTAAAACAAATTTAAGGGTCCATGTGACATTACAATCAATTAGATTTCGACACATCTGGCATCTTTGATGTTTGAATTTGAATACTTAAAAAATAACAATAATTCATTTATTATATAAGTCACTTGGTTCGTGTTATTTTAATCTATTTATAATTGTCATAGAAAAGGTAAACATAATGATTAGATAAAACCGTATTGGTTTTAAATCAATTCGATTTGAATTAGATTGATTCGAGTTATTTTAGATTTAGATTATTTTATATGCTAATTACTTTTATATGAAATTATTTTAAGTTTAAATCACTTTTATTTAAATTCAAAATAAATAGATTTAAGTCGTTGTTTCAATTAATTTGGAATAAGTACAAGATAATATATATTCAAATGTAAGATAACTCTCAATTATTTGACACTGAACGCTCATACCCCACATCTAAGGATAGGCGCAGGACCCGAATCTGACGAGTTTCAACCTGACCCGATCGAGTCATATTATTTTAAAAAAAGATCGGGTTCGGGTCGAGTTCGGGTTGAAGATGAAAGAATCTGATCCGACCCAAAAATAATATAAAAACATCTTATATATTTAGGGATAATTGTAAGAATGCACCTCTTTATATTATTTGTTATCAATTAAGTCTCTATTTATTAAATAAAATTAATAATTTTATATTATTATGGGTCAATTCAGAGTCGGATTCGGGTTTTATCTCAAAAGTTGGGTCGAGTTTTAGGTCAGATGGAACTACTCTAAACTCGGGTCTGGTCAGGTTTCATGTGGAACTACTCTAAACTCGGGTCAAGCCAAGTTGACCGAAACTCGACCCATATTCATTCTTAACTACTCCTGATATTTATGATGTTCGAATATAATATATTTTATAATTTCGGGTGGAATAAAAAATTGACCTGTCCAAGAAAAGCGAATGAGCAGCCGCAACAATTTAAAGGCTTGGAACCCAACCGACCACATAAAATAATGAAAAATCTCATTTTTCTTTTAGATGAAAAAGATTTCAACGATAATGTCAGTCAGATACACGCCCCAACGTGCTCTTGTATTATTTCGCCCTTTTCTCTCTCAATTTCACCACTAGGGAAACACCGTTTCCATGGTTCCCCACTTCTAATCTTTTCTTTCCTTTATATAAATCCCGACCCCTTCTTCCATTTCCACCCCAGATTACCTTTCCCCCTTCTCTCTATACAACCCCTGTTTTCTCTCTCTAAACAGTCTCTCAGATGGCGTGCAGAGCTTTAACGCCGAGCTTAAACCTCAAACATGTTACGTCCCCGTTGAACAATGAGGCTCAAACTCAATCACATTCGTTCGGCCAGGTTTGTTTACCGAAGAAAACCGGGTTTTGTTCATCGAGACAATCTGTGATCGCTAATAACTCGGCAGTGACGGCACCAGCTATGTCGGTGAGTGCCACCGGAACCGGTTCGAGATTATATCGTTTCTGGAGAGAGGTGCACGGTTCGAACAACTGGGAGAATTTAGTTGAGCCCTTGCACCCTCTTCTCCGACAGGAGATAATCCGATACGGCGAGTTCGTCGCGGCTTGCTACAAGGCATTCGATCTCGACTCGAACTCGAAACGGTACCTGAATTGCAAGTACGGGAAGAGAAGCATGTTGAAGGAAGTTGGGATGGAGAATTCCGGCTACCAAGTGACTAAGTACATCTACGCTACACCTGAAGTCAACATCCCAATCCAAAATGAAGCTTCTTGCGGTCGTTGGATCGGATACGTAGCGGTTTCATCCGACCAAGAGACGAAGAGGCTCGGCAGAAGGGACGTGCTCGTGACGTTCCGAGGAACGGTCACCAACCACGAATGGGTGGCGAACTTCATGAGCTCGCTCACGCACGCACGGCTCGACCCTCACCATGAAAGGCCCGAAGTGAAGGTCGAGTCGGGGTTTCTGAGCCTATACACATCGGACGAAGCCGGCAGCAAGTTCGGCCTCGAGAGTTGCCGCGAACAGCTCTTATCCGAGGTCTCAAGGCTACTAAACAAGCACAAAGATGAGGACATAAGTATAACTTTAGCCGGTCATAGTATGGGGAGTGCTTTGGCTCTTCTTCTAGCTTATGACATAGCTGAACTAGGGTTAAATAAATCCGATAACTCGATCTCCGACGATCGAGTTCCGATCACCGTGTTCTCATTCGGGGGTCCAAGAGTGGGTAACTCAAGTTTCAAGCAAAGGTGTGAGGAATTAGGGGTTCAAGTGCTGAGAATAGTGAATGTCAACGACCCCATCACAAAGCTACCAGGTGTCTTCTTCAATGAGAATTTTAGGATTTTATTGGGAGGAAGATTAGAGCTGCCATGGATAAGCTGCTCATGTTATGCTCATGTGGGTGTTGAATTAGTCATGGATTTCTTCAATGTCCAAAACCCTTCATGTGTTCATGACCTTGAAACCTACATCAGCTTACTCAAATGGCCCAACAGATCTTTAGGGATTCAAAAAGAGGGTTTGAATTTTGAGTTGTGGAATAGGGCTAGGGATTTGATCTTGAGTGCCCAAAATCTCAACATTAATTTGCCATGGAGAGATGCAGCAATCAACTTGGTGAACTTGGTTCAATTGTATATTTAGGACAAATTTTTGTTATCTCTAAGAAAATACAGAAGAGGTTATCTTTAAAATAATGAGAGAAAAATGTAGAAGGATTAATATTATAAAAGATTATTATAATTTCAAATTTTAATTTTGTGAATGGAGTAAGTTAAGATAACTTCATGCATAACGAATATTGTAATACCTAATCAAAATTAGTCAATCAATAGGTTCATATCGATGTTTATAAAAGAAAATAGGATAAATGACGTATTTAGTATGTAAACTATTAAATTTGGTCTGTTTTAGTACTTAAACTTTTAATTTTTTCAAAGTCATACCTAAAGTTTAGTTTTGTTTCATTTTAGTACCCATGTTCAAAATTTAACATTAAGTTTTGGAAAAAATCGAAAGTTTAGGTACTAAAATGGACTAAAACTGATAGTTTAGATACTAAACACGTTAAGTTTTTAACGGTGGGGTACTAAATGAAATGAAAAATTAAATGTTCGGTATGATTTTGAAAAAATTGAAAGATTAAGTACTAAAACGAACCAAAACTGATAGTTTAGGTATTAAATACAAAATTTACTCAATAAAAATAATTATATAAGTCAATTGAATTAACTTTCAAATTTAAAGGTATAAACCTTTCATTGGATGAAAGTATTTTTTTCATATGGGTTAAAAAACCATTTGTTTTCATATATGATAATATTTATAACAATACAAACAATAATCAAATAGCATAAATATAATTATTTTTTGAAGTTTTTTAAATTTTCTTGATATTTATTTTTCATTAATTACATTTAGATAGCCTTGGCTAGGATAATATTACATTAATCCTATATTGGAAATGAAAAATATGAAGTTTAAAAATAATGATTTTGTACATTTTATTACATACATATATAAGATTTTATGTTAGGGGAACGAACCAAGCGAATTATGTATTAAAGGAATTATTATTATTCATTGAGATCTCATGTTCGAGCACTAGGAATGCCAGAGGTGTGAGCTCAGAGGTGTGAGCGTTCAATGTTAGATGGTTGAGAGTTATCTTTGAACAGTAGTTGTAAACTTTTAGAAAGTTATATTAAAAGTTTAGAAGATGCAAAATTATAAACTTTTAAGAGATGCACAATTAGACCATCAATAAAAAAAATATGTTAATAATTCAATATTTTTTTAATAATCTAGGATGATTACAAGGTAATATCTATTAAAAAAATTAACGTAGGACAACGCACACACACCCTACAGACACAACTGATCGAACCGAGTCCTTTAAGGATAACGACATCCTTTCTTACCATTGAGATCACTCGATAGATTAAATAATTTAATAATTTATAAGTTAGATTAATAGTCAAGAACGAATCTGTGTAGAGAGTAAGAATGTGCGCGGGACTCAAACCCGACGTGTTTCGATCCGACCCAACCTGATCGGGTTGGACTTTTTTAAAAATATTTCAGGTTCGGGTTAGGTTTTTTAGAGAATAGGTTCTGGTCGGGGTCGAGTTTAGGGTGAAAAATATCTGATCCGACCTGACCCGATAAATAATATAAAAATACCTTATATATTCAAGGATAATTGCAAGAATACACCTCTTGACATTATTTTTTCAATTAAGTCCCTATTTATTAAATAAAATTAATAAATTTACATTATTTCGGGTCAGATCGGATCGGTGTTGAGTTTTATCTCAAAAGTCGTGTCGGGTTTCGGGTCCGGTGAAAGTATAAAATTTTGAGGTCAGGTCGGGTTGGCCGAAAACCCGACTCATGCCCATCCCAAGTAGGGAGTGGGACATTTTTGGTTTAATAGCATTTTAGGTCCTTATCAGTTTAAATTTAAGTAAAATTAAACTTTTACCCCCAAATTTTTAGATTAAATACATAATAAGTCCTTATTTTGAACTCACATACCTTGTTCTCCCACTATTTGATCCTGGCTCCATCCCTCCCGGTTAATCGTATTATACATTTATCGTCTTTCCTTTAAATTAAGACCAACTTCATACGTTAGATACAAGTCTAAAAGAAATTGTTTCACCTTGCAAAACTTGGACCAATTTCTTCCATTTAATTAATTTTTCAAGAAATTGAATAATATTAGTCTATGCATGGGACAAGTGTGAAAAATATTAAAATAGTAATCACGTATACTTCGTTATTCGATTTCTTTTTTTTTCTTTTCCTGAATTTGATAATTTTGTCTTATTAAGTTCGATTTTCCAATTCAATTTTGGTATTTTTTGACGGTCTATGTGACTGTACGTGTTTCGCTCAAATTAATGTCAATACAATATAATTCGTCAAAGTAATATCTCGTCGTGTATATTATTTTCGTCATTTATTAACGCTACAAACGTACACATAATTATATGAAATATATTGAAATCATGAATAAGAATATGGTACGTGTGTATCGAAGGTAAAAATGGTCGGATCGATTGGCCTAATACGCTCATTGCCTACCCAAAAAAATAAAAAAAATAAATAAATAAACATATTGAGGACAAAACTGAAAGAAATTAAAAATTAAAAGGACTAAAGAGCAACAAGGTCTAGATTGAATGATATGCTAATACAGAGGGACTAAAACATAATTTATCCATTAAAACTCTTGGGCACGGGCCGGGTCCGCTAAAAGTTCAAGGTGTGGACCTTGTCCGAGACTACTTGACCCGACCGCCTTTTATAGATATCAAAACACTTACATCCCTATTTAAAAGTTCTCTCCTAAGATTAGTTTTTCGCGAAACTTACTTTATCAAGTTAAAATTTCAACGTGCTAATACTTCAATCTCTTTCAATGATCGCTCGATGAGACTAACTTTTAGGTATGTTGTTTATTTTCTCAAAATAATGGTTCTCTTCGTCCGAATTTTCGAACAAATACCCAAAATCCCTCAATTCTAAAAAATGCCCCAACCTCTGAAATTGGTATATTTTTTTAAATTTCATCAATTTTGAGTGGATTTTAATGAAAATAAATCTTAGGAGAAGAGTGAACGTGAGAGTTTTAGTACCAATTTTGAGTGGATTTTATGGAAAATCAATCTTAGGAGAAGAGTGAATGTGAGAGTTTAAGTACCAATATTGTCACAAAATTAATCAATTTTGTACCAATATTGTACCAAAAATATAATTATCTAAAAGTTTAGAGACAAAATTGACACACCCTTAAAGTTTTGTACCTAAAACGTCATTTTATGCATTAATAGCCACACCAAAATGATGTTGTTTTGTTCTTGTCATCACACAATTTGGATTTTAACAAAGAGATATAATTGAAGTTAGAACTAAAGTTCAGTCCTATAATTAGAGAAACTAAAAATTTAGAACTATAAATAATATACCACATAAAGTTTAGTGATATATGATGTAATTTACCCAATTTTGTAAACATAATACTATTGCTCATATAATTTTTTACTCCACTTTATTTTGCTCAATCCTATACTACAAGATTAAATACTTCAATTTTTTAGTTTATGGGCAATATATATATATATACACACACGATAAACCTCAAACTAACATTATTTCAAATTCAACACATAATATTTGATGAATTTAAAGGTACGATTGAACGGGTTTGGTTCAAGTAGTAAATAACTTAATATCCTTTAAGTAAGTTTCGAGTTCGAGTCTTTATGTAGAAAACTCTTGTTGGGAGATTTATCTATCAAAATTAAGTGTGCAACCTGAATCGATTCAGATTAATCAAGACAAAACTTTAAATACGACAAAAAAAAAATTGTAATTGTGCATGCCAGTTATGGTAACCGACCAAAATATAAAAGAATGAAACACGTGGAAAACCATTCTATCACTAGATTTCCTTGTCAAAATTAAAGGATCGCAATAGTTATGTCATGTCTGTTTCATGTCCAAAAGTCTTGGATTTGCTTCAACAAAGGGGAAAAAAGATTTTTTTTTCCCAAAAAAAGTCAAATATTTCAATCATAACGTTTGGGGTAAAAAATCAAAGAAATAATAATACTATATGGTAATTTACTTTAAAGTTATATTGTATTTAATGTTAAACACCAATTCAATTAGAAAAATGATATATTATTATTACTTTAAGTAGTACTTTAATATTAGCATAAATTACATAGAGTATCATTGAACTTTAGATTGCATATCAATATTATTATTATATTTTAAAATATCGTAATTTAGGAATTGGATTTTAGTTTCATGTTCAATTAAAATATCCGATCATTAAACAATTAATAGTTGGACGATATGTAAGTTTAGTGTCAATGTGAAAGTCAAAAAATAGTTTTTATTCTATCTCATTATCTTCTTCGGTAAAAATGAGATTTCCACCTATTTTTAGTTGTCACCGAAAGATGTCATTCTCTGACATCTTTTATGGTCACCCAAGACACCAACGAACTCGTCTCATTGTCCTCTACCAATTTATCGATTTATGTTTTCTCAAAACCTCTTTAAAAATCATGAAACTAAACACAAAAAAATTCACATCTTTCGAGGTTTAAGGCTTTCTTAAATTTGAGGTGTTTGTTAAAAAATCTAAATGATGAGAAGTTTTCTATCAAGAAGACGAACAATATACTTCAAAAATAACCTAATCAAACAATTGTCGAAGTAGATCAGAGCAATAAAAAATTTATCATTTAATACATTTTCGTCAATTTTGAGTGGGTTTCATGAAAAAACTAATCATATGAAATGAAATAAGAGTGAAAAATGAACGTTTTAGTATTAATCTTGTCATGAATGGTGACTGATGATAGACAATAATAGAACAATAGTGGCGGTTGGAGTTTTTGATGGTTTTGAGTATGAATCAAATTGATTCTCGAATTAAAGTTTGGTGCCTAAAATGAAATCGTTTTAAAATTTTATGACAAAATTGATACGCAAACTAAAGTTAACGGGGAAGAAAGAATTTGACATCACGCTGTTAATAATTTAAGCCCTAATTAAACCAGAAACTAAAGTTCAAAACAAAAATTGAAGCAATTTAAAGATCAATTATAAAAATAATATAAAAT